TATGAGTGAGTGTGTGAGTATCTGTGTGTGTAAGTGTGTGTGTGTGTGTGTGGTGTGTGTTGTGTGTGTGTGTGTGTGTGTGTTGTGTGTGTGTGTGTGTGGTGTGTGTGCGTGTGCGTGTGCGTGTGGTGTCGTGCGTGTGCGTGTGCGTGTGCGTGTGCGTGTGCGTGTGTGTGACTGAGGCTGTGAGTAACTTCATTATAACTATATCCGTGTCTGCATATGCGCAATGCCTATGCTAAACCGCGTGCATTCTCCCTTCCGTTTTGGACAGCGCCCACGCCTTCCCGACGTACCTGAGGGCGGCCTTCTCGCAGGCGTCGGGTTGTCGACTGCCGGGGCGTCGTTGGCGAGGTCGACGGCGTCCACGGCGTCGTCGTCCTGCGAGGAGGAGTGCCGTGACCCGCGCCCCGCCAGGTTCTTGCTGCTGGGGCCTCCGCAGGATGGTGAGGGAGCCTTTCTCTGGGGCGAGGGAGAGGGGGCGGTGAGGCGAGGCGGTGAGGGCGAGGCGGAGAGGGGGCGGTGAGGGCGAGGCGGAGAGGGGGCGGTAAGTGGCGAGGGCGGAGAGGGGGCGGTGAGGGGGCGGTGAGGCGAGGGAGAGGGGCGGTGAGGGCGAGAGAGAGGGGCGGTAAGGCGGCGGAGAGGGGGCGGTGAGGGCGGTGAGGGCGAGGAGAGGCGGGCGGTGAGCGAGCGGGAGGGGGCGGTGAGGGCGAGGCGGGGAGGGGGTGGGGAGGGCAAGCGGGAGGGAAGGGGGTGGGGGGGGGGGGGACGCACAGATAATTGGGCGATCAATAGGTGAGAGGCGGCGAGAGGATGAGGCTGAACGATGTAATTGTGTAATGAGGGAACATGAACAGACTGTGAAAAGGAACATGAGACAGAAAGGAAATGCAATACTGCAAGAAGGAAAAATAGAAACCACGTGAAAAAATATTGCACACCGCAACAAATTAGTCGCACTATAAAAAAACACTTGCGTCAGTCGAAAGAAGAAGTAAAAATGACGAAGGGAATTCAATATCGTAATGTAATACCAACACAAGGCAATAATGAGATATGATCATTAACGGAATAAAGGCGAGGCAGAGAGGAGGAACAGCAAGACCTCACAATAACGATCATCACTCCAAAATAAACAAATCAAATAAAATATCTGGAAAGAATAATTCCTTTCGTAAGGTGAGGACAACACTCAACAGGATCTAATCATTACTATCAAACAAACTCATTTCTAAAAAGGAGAAGGAAGTGGAATTCCTATCTGGAGCCACTAATAAGCCCGTTGAGTATGTTTAAAAATCATCATTAAAATACAGCCGCTTCAGCAGGTATTTTAGAACAAAGGCATACATGCATTAAGCGACGGTCACATTAGTCTCCTCTGCCCTGGGATCCCTAGACAGCCTAGTCAAAGTCAGGTCAGCTACAGCTTGGGGTTGGTCACACTACACACAGTGTCCCCTCGGAGAGAACCATCGTCTCAGTCCAAAGTTTACATAGTTCATGACGAAGTTTCCTTGGTTATTTTATCCATAATTCCTGCTTATATAATCCTTATGACTGGTGTTCCACGACGGTTCTTTGGCTAGGGATTTCCATCTCGGATCCCATTACAGCTTGGGAAGTATCCCGTTCTGTCTTGGGAATCCTTGGATAGAATGGAATATTGTGACCACCCCTTTATCTTTCTCTCTTCCCTCTCCTTCTCCTTTTTTTCTCTCTCTAATCCCTCCTCTCTCTCTCTCTCTCTCTCCCTCCCCTCCTCCTCTCCTCCTCCCCCACCCCCCTCCCTCGTTATCTCTCCCTCTCTCCCTCTCTCTCATCTCACTCTCTCTCTCTCTTCTCTTCTCGCTCTCAGTCTCTCTTCATTCTCTCTCTCTCGTCATTCTCATTCTCTCTCATTCTCTCTCATCAGTTCTCCATTCTCTCTCTCGTCTCATTCTCTCATCCTCTTCCTTCTCCTCTCTCTCTCCATTCTCTTCTCTCTCCTATTCTGCTTCTCTCCATTCTGCGATTCTCTCTCTCATTCTTCGTCGTCTCTCTCATTCGTCTCTCTCCTCTCATTCTCCTCTCTCTCCCGTCTCTTCTCTGCTCCTCTCAATCTCTCTCACTCTCATATCGTCTCGTCTCTTCTCGATGTCCTCTCTCTCTCATTATTCTCTCTCCCTCTCTCTCTCATTCTCTCTCCTCTTTCCTCTCATTCTCTCTCCCCCCCTACCCCTCTCACCTCTCTCCCTCTCCCCTCGTCCCTCTGCCTCTCCTCTCTCTCTCTCTCTCCCTCTCTCGACACCCTCCCTCTCCTCCCACTCCCTCCCTCCCACCTCCCTCCCTCACCTCCTCGCTCTCTCTACCTCCTCTCTCTCATCCCCCCTCCCACCTCCCTCCCCACACCGCACCATCCTCTCCTCCCTCTCCGCTCCCTCTCATCTTAAACAGATGGCACTGACTACGTGACGTAATCTGGCCTCCCTTCCAGTGAGGTGACCACGATACATAAACA